CATCCAGGGCATGGCCCATGGGGCCTCTTAGGGCAGTTCCTCTTGAAGTGGCCTGGCTTTTAACAGTGGTAGCAGATGAATGCAGTTGTCGAGTTGATGAGTGTATTATTGATGGCCCTTTTGCTCTTAGAGCTACTTTAGGAACTGAAATTTCACAAACAGAATCACACTGCATAGCTGGTCCGTTCATTTTAACGTTGTAATTTTTAGTATTTCAAGGTGATATCATGCTAATTCATTTGTACCTCCTTACTGAACCAAATATGCCCTTATAATAAATCACCTGACTGGAGGTCCAGCAATGAGAATTCCTCACTGAATGCTACAGAAATGAAGACAGAATTGGCCATCTGCTGTCAGAGAGCCTTTGCCACCAAGGTCAACAGAAAATGGCTGCCCTCAAGAGTTAGAGATGAACTCTGACATCTGCAGATTCAGGTGGGCTGGGACAGTGCTGTCAGTCCTCCCTACTTGGCGATCCTGTAAGTTTGCATTCAAACAACTGTGGATAGAAAATATCTGGGAAAAATTATACTGTTCTGAATCTGAACAAGTTTTCTTGTCATTATTCCCTAACAACACAGTATAGCAACCACTTACACAGCGTTTACCTTATATTAAGCATTATAATTAACCTAGAGATGGGAGGTGACATACAAATACTGTATCGCATATTTTATAAAGGACTTGAGGATTTGCAGATTTTGGTATCTATGATGAATCACGGAACCAATATGAAAGGATATGAGCAGATGACTCTTCTTGTGAATTCAGTTATGTGAATAAAATACATAGTTGGCAGAAGGAAAGGAAAAACAGGAAAGCAGCTAGTTATATTTTAAGGCTAACTCTCAGAAGAAAATATTGTTTATAAAACTTTGTAACTTAATTTATGGCTTTGGGTTGTAAACTGAAAAGAAGAGATAAACTCCAGTTTATTCCAAGAGGTACTTTTCATTTGATTCCCACTTACGTCATCAGTCTATATCCCTTTCTTCATTTTAATTAGCTATTGTGAAATAATTTTCAACTTATAGTAACATTGCAAGGGTAAACAAAGCATAAGGAACATCCATATAACCTTTACTCAGTTTCACCTATTATTGGGCCGGGGATATAGCTTAGCGGCACAAGCACCTGCCTGGCAAGCGCAAGATCCTAAGTTCGATTCATGGTACCAAAAAAAAAAAAAAAAAAAAAGATTCACCCATTATTAATATTCACCTCATTTGATCAATTATTTGAATGTACATCCTCTGAGTGTACACATACAAAATAATTTTCCTGAACCTACAGTCGCATAATCCATTATTAATGTTGCTAGATTCAATATTTGTAGATTCAAATTTTTTATGCGTATTTTGATTTTTACTCGTACATGTTTGCAGTACATCATGATTGCAGTCCACTGTAGGGGGTTGGTACCTGTACATAACCATGTTTCCCCTCTGTCGTAATAGTGTAGGGCTAGCGGTGTCTCTCAGGGGCTGAACGCTTGCCTAGTATATACAAAAGCTTGATCCTTTGCAGCAGAAAGAAATACATAAATACAGATGCAGTTATTACAAAGCAAAAAATGCAAACTAAAACAGCATACTATTTTAAAGTTAAATTGGTGGTAATGTTAAGTTCTTTATATTTGCCATTATAAATACAGAAAATTTACATTTTGTATGTTGAAACTCAAACCTTTGCAATTATAAACAGATTTGGAACTAAATCGTGTTATAATTTGGATAATTTTTACAAATTGGTCCATATAAAGACATAAGCAATATTGTCAAATTATATAGACCTATCAACTTTTTCCATTTAAATTTCTGAGTAAAGTATAAGAGTATGATCATTTTCTAGTCATTAATGTCAACATTAATCGTAGAGGTAGCCCTGTTCTGACTTTTCAGAAACCTTATTTGTGCTTTCATTTATAGGTTTATTTTCTTTATTAACAAATTCAAACAACATCGTTTAACTGATATTTGAACCTTCTGTAGTTTATAAACTTGAAATTGTGACTATTTTTTTCGCTCCACATTGTGAAATTCATTCATATTGTTGCAGAGAGCTATATTTGGTTCATTTTTAATTTTGGCCCGTATACCATTGTATGAAAATATATTTTATCCATAATAACTCTGAGGGGAATTCTTGTTTCCAGGTTTTGACCATAGCAAAACAGTGCAGCCATGAATATTCTTGGTAGTGTACATAACACGGGTGTCTCTAGAGTATTTTCATAAGAATGGAGTTTCTGATTTATGGAGTATTGTCACTTTCACTTTAAGTAGATGATACCTAACTTTTCCCAAGGCTACGTGCTAATTTACATCCTTAACGTTTAAGTCCAACAAGTCCCATTACTCCACCTGCTGGCAGTCACTTGGTATTACTAGACAATTTTTGCCTGTTCAGCAGCTAGTTTTGCTTAAAACTTTTGCTTAAGTTTTGCTTGGCATTGCATAATTAGATTTTCCTGATTACTACTAATGTTGATAGTCTTTTCATATATTTATTGGACATTTGGATTTCCTATTTGGTGAAGTATTTGTTCAAGACTTTTTGTTTTGTTCCAAGAGAGAAATACACATTTCTTCAGAAATTGATTCATTTGCATTGATTCTTTATGTTGACGTGTTCAATATTATATACATTGATCAACATAATAAAATATATTACTATGTAATAAATATGGCAAAAATTCATAAGGTTTTCAAAAGTAAATAATAAATCTTAAATACATTATGATAATTGAGAAGAACTGTGAGATAGAGTACAAAATGCCCAAGATAACTGTATCCAATAGCCTACTTGGAGTTTTCACTGGGATGTAGGTATTTCAAGTTTAATCCATAAAGACTGAACATTTTATTCTCTCTATCAACTTGTTCCTAATTTTTTGCACTTCCAGTTTTATCACTTTCTGGTGTGTCAGACCCAGTATCCCAACATATCAGAGGATGGACTCCCCCATTCGCTGCTCCAGTTCCCGTGCTGAGACTGCCTTACACTTAAGTATTTAATAAATATTTGTAGAATAAATGGACCTAGCCCCCAAAAATGTTCAATTAAAAATTGTTCAATAATATGTACAAAATAGTATATATTTTTTAAAAAGTAAAAGACATTTATTCTTTTATTTCTATTATTGGACCAACAGGCATTACACAGTCCCTATTTATTCTGTACCTGACCAATTGCTATAACTCTTTTTAGTGGACCTGCTTTCCACCTTTCAGTGTGACTAGCTTACAACATAAAATCCAAACCACTCACTAGATCATTCCAGGTTCTCCGTAATTATAATGGGTAGTGTACATACACAGGTGAACATAACTAGAGAACATAACTATCTTGTGTATGTATATATGTATATATATTTTTTCCTTTTCTCTTCCTTCCTTTCCCCTCCTCCCCAGCAGTTTCTCTGACATGAGACTACCTTTCCACCTAGTTTTCCTTGAACATCATGAAGCCCAATTTTACAACCACACAAGACTACTGGGTATTTCCTGAGTGTGCCCTACATTTCCATTCCTTCTTATTTCCACATCTTCCTGGTGTCCCTTCGCACTCATTGCTTTTCTAACCAAATTATATCCACCCTTTACCATTCAAATTAAATGTTATTTTCTGTTCGCAGTTTTCTTTGACTCACCCAGGTAGGATTAGGTTTTCTTCCTTTCCATTTTACCCTAATACTTATTAATCATTTTATTTTAAAGAGAAGAAGAAAAAAATAGAAATAAAACAGAGTTTCAAATCAGGCTAATAGAAGAGTAACAATAATTAATACATTGCATAGTGTTATCTTCATAGAAGTTACTCAGAGTAATAGATATAGGCATGATATCTTGTCCAAACAATATTAGCACAAACCTTTCTTTTCAGTGACTTAAGAGAAACTAGCCATATAACTACCTTAATTATCTTGTGTATGTATATATGTATATATATATATATTTTTCCTTTTCTCTTCCTTCCTTTCCCCTTTTCCCCATCAGTTTCTCTTTTCTTTTGAACAACTTATTCCCAATTCACAATATCTATTGTACATTTTGGACTTTATTTACTCATTCAGCTTCTCTCACTATTGAGACAATACAGTGTTTGCACATGTGGTTCTCATTTATTTCACTTATGAGTATAGCCTTAAGTTGCATACATTTACTTATAAAAGTCTCAAATTTATACTTTTTATGGCTGAGTAGTACTCCATTACATAAAACAACCACATGTTTTTTATCCATTCCTCATTTGAAGGGTACTTGAGTTGTTTCCAAGGTTTAGCTCTTACAAATTGTGCTGGTATAAACATGGATGCACATGTATCACTGTGGCATGGTATTTTCCATTCTTCTGGGAAGATACCCAGAAGGGGAATAACTGAATGGAATGGACCTCTAATCCTAGATTTTTAAGCAATCTCCACACTGATTTATACAGTGGTTTCACCAGTCTAAATGCCCACCGATAGTGGAGTAGGGTTCCTTTTTTGCCACAGCCTCGCCAGCATTTGTTACTGGTTGATTTCTTGATGATAGCTATTCTTACTGGAGTGAGATGGTATCTCAGTGTTGTTTTAATTTGCATCTCTCAAATGGCCAATTATGTTGAACATTTTTTCATATATTTATTTGCTGTTTGTATTTCTTCGTCTGAGAAGGGTATATTCATCTCAGATGCCCATTCATGGGCTGAGTCTTTGAATTTGGGGGGGCTGATTTTTTTCGATTCTATGTTCTAGATATAAGTCCTTTGTGTGAGGGACAACTGATTATAATATTTTTCCACTCTGTGTGTTGTCTTTTCACTCTGTTGGTGATTTCCTTTGTTGTGAAAAAGCTTTTTAATAAGGTGAGAGCCTATTTGTTGATTCTTTGTAGTATTTCTCATATGGTGTGGGTTTTCTTCATGAAGTCTCTACCTCTGCCTATGTCTTCAAGATTTCTATGCATTTTCTTCTCTTCCAGTAGATCTAGTGTTTCTGTTCTAATATTTAGACCTTTGATCTATTTTGACTTTATTTTAGTGCATGGTGATAGGCATGGGTCTAGTTTTAGTCTTTTCCATGTGGAAACCCAGTTTTTCCAGCACAGTTTATTAAATAGATTATCTTTCTTCCAGTGAACATGTTTGGCTCCTTTGTCAAAGATAAGGTGGTTGAGTGTTTTTGGAGTTGCATCTGCAACTTCTATTCTTCTCCACTGATTCTCAGGTCTGGTTTTTGTTTTTGTTTTTGTTTTGCCAATACCATGCTGATTTTATCACAGTAGCTTTGTATTATAATTTAAGGTCAGGGATTGTGATTCCCCCTGACTTACCTTTGTTGTCCAGGATTGCTTTTGCTACTCTAGGTCTCATTTGGTTAAAAGTGAATTTTAGGCATGTCTTCTCTAGTTCTATGAGGTATGCTAATGGTATTTTTATTGAGATTGCATTACATCTGTATAAAAGTTTTGGGAGTAATGCCATTTTCATTATGTTGGTTCTTTCTATCCATGAGCAGGGGATAGCTTTCTATTTTCTGATATCCTCTTCAATCTTCTTTTTCAGAGCATTGTAATTTTCAATGTATAGATCTTTTACTTCCTTTGTTAGACTGATTCCTTTATATTTCATTTTTTGGATGCTGTTGTAAGAGGTATGGTTTCCCTAATTTCTCTGTCAGTGAGTTTGCCGCTTGTACATAGGAATGTTATTGGTTTTTTGAGTGTTGACTTTACATCCAGCTATGCTACTGAATTTGGTTATTAAATCTACAAGTCTTTTGGTGGAGTTCTTGGGGTCTTCTATGCAGAGTATAGAGCTTACACTCATAGAATCATAATGTTAGACTTGGAAACAGTCCTTGTCATTATGAGGTACAACTTGCTCATGCTATGTAAGGCCAAAGCAAGAATCCAAGTTTTTCAGTCTGCCTTGACTCTTTATCTCATGTGCGTGTGTGTATGTGTATGAGTATGTGTGTGTGTGTGTGTGTGTGTGTGTGTGTGCGCGCTGCAGTGAGAGAAGTGGAGCTCAGGTTCTTATGCAAGCTAGGCAAGCACTCTACTGCTGAGATATATCCCTGGTCCTTATATTTTTTTACCTTATATCTGACATGCCACTGATACAAAGAGAGTATCTTGTTGATCTTGTGTGTTCCATGATACCTAATAAATCTATTACACAAGTGTAAATGCAGTAAGTACTGTATTAATAGACTTGAGATTCAGAGGGATGGATAAAGTAAAGATGCAATTCATAATACTTACATCCACTAAGTGTATACTCTGTACCCGTTTCCATACCAATACTTTAGAAGAATTATGTCACAGGAATAAGCAAAGTTTCTGACCTGCTTGGTGTAACTAACATGTATTGCCAGTGATGACTGTTTTTCTAGAAGAAATCTCTGGGCATCTCTCATAATCCAAAAACTCTGGCCAGGACCGGGGGTATAGCTCAGTTGCACAGTGCCTGCCTCACAAGCGTGAGGTCGTGAGTTTGATTCCCGGTACCAAAAAACAAAACAGAACAAAAAAACCAAAAACTCTGGCCAGTGAACTACCTTTAGAAAGTCATCTCACTTATGTGTATAAGAGAAGATATGTGTGCCCTGCATGTATCTCCTGACAGAGCTGCACAAACAGACATGAGTTAAGGTCATGTACTTTAATGTAATTCATAATTTTAATCACATCCTGCAAAACATTGTTAAACTCAGGTGACATTTGTTGACTAACTGGCATTTCTTTATGGGTAACAGGGCACAGACTCACATTCAACAGCAGCCTGCTGGACCCTAGTATTGAAGCCAGAAAGCCATTCAGTCATGGCAGCTATTCTGACAAATACTGACAAATGACCAATTCAGTTTTTCTGATATATGACCATTCAAATCCTCGAATAGTTCTGCAACTGTGGTGTTGGTTGGCAATAAAGTATAATATATATATATATATATATACCTTTCTATATATATATATATATAAAACCAAAACAAGTATTGTTGCCTTGTTGTCAGAAGCAGTAAACTGGTCAACCTGGATTACATACCATGGTGACTCATTGATCTTCTCTTAGTAATTGTGCCTCAGTATCCTCTGCTTTTTCGTCAGTTTGTCTAGAGATGGTGCTAGTCAGAAAAGGAACAGGTCATTGTTTGAACTCTCATAGGTTCATGAACCCTTGTGTAAAGGCAGGGAAGAAAAGAAAGGAGATCACTTGCTTGAGCTTTAGTTTTTGTTGTATGGTGGTAGTGGGAGAGAAAAATCATCTGGTCTCTTCACTGGGCTTCAGAGGATACTGAATCCTTAGAGAAGAGCCTGGTTTCTGTTAAACTAAACCAATGGAGGGGCAATTCAGATGAGGTTAAGGATATGGAGAGTTAGTGAAGGGGCGTTGTGTTTTAGCAGTAGGGGAGAGGTGAGAAAATTGAAGTAAAGAAGGAATATGGACACAACCTCATGGAGCTTAGTATGCAGGAGTTGAGAGACAGCTTGTGGGTCTTGAAGTTCTTGCAACAGGCACAAATGGAGATGAATCTTTACGTGAGTCTTGATGACTTCAGAGCAAATAGGTTTGGACTAGAAAGAGTAGTTGTCTGGAGCTTCCTGTCAACCCCATGTGATCTGGGGAACTTAGTTTTAGACCCGGAATACCAGTTCTAACAATGCTCAAATTGCTCCTGGAAACAGAAATCACAGAGATTCATAATGACAGAAAAATGGCCTGGAGGGCAGTACACATCAGGTTCAGGGTGGGACTACCCCTGGCAAAGTGGAAAGGGGAAGATGGAAATGGGATGAGGGTCAAAGAAACCTCTTTTTTTTTCTGTAATGTTTTCATTCCTTAAAAAAAGGGTAAAATCAATAGCACCTAAATAGTAACAGCATTGAAATCTGACCGGTAGAAACACTGATGTTTATTACAGTTAATGCTTGAGACACTGTGAAGTACTTCATGAGTATTTTTTCTGTTGAACGAATGTGCCTTTCTGTTTTAAAAAATTATCTAACGGCAAAACTCTCAAATTAACACGAAGTACCAAAGGAGCATAGTGAAGGCATAAAATGAGGTGAAGCTTGAGAGTGAGGCTTGAGGAATCCATGTAGGGAGTTATTTCTAATCTGATTTACACCACTATACATGAGACACGTAAAATAGGGGGTGCAAGCCAGACACAGTTGTACATTCATTTTACCTCAACGTTCTACTGTTCTGGGTGAACACCCAGAAAATGAGCTTGAATTTTCAGTGCTTTCAAGAAACTATTGGATTCTCACTTTTCTCCACCAACAGACACTGGGTGGTGGTGCTGTCCAAAAATTGTTCTTTATCATGGATCTATTACTTTCATATGCAGGCACGTCTTTATTAGTTTCCTGTGGAGCAAGCAAAGTGCGAAGGACTGGGGCTGTAAAGATAAACAGCTTCAGCACGTTCTCCTACAATTATTCTAAACTGACTTAATGTACCCAGTGGCAGAAAGTGCAAAATGTGACTTTTACATACAAAAGCACCATTGCTCCAGAAATGTCCAACTGCGGGAGTAAATAAATGACCCTTGAACCACCCACGCTCACCATCCGCAGCACCGGCCAAGAATTAGAGCAGACATCATTGAGTATGGCTGCCAACCACTGGTCATCTCTAGGCAGTTGGGTTCCAATGGCTATGAAATGCCGAGGGTGCATAAGCAGGGCTTGTTCAGCGTGAATCTTGGAGATCCATATTTTCGTAACAGGGCAAGATATGTCTGTTTATTGCACAGACCCCTAATACAGGGGATGATTAAGTGTGCTTGGGATGAGGTGAATGTGCACCCTTAAGACTAAAGCAGTAGAAGAGGGAGAGAAGGTGATCTCTCCCAAGGATTCGTCCTAGTCAGAAGGAACGAGGATCGGGCCAATCAGAAAGGGTGGAGCTGCCTGTGTGGGAAGGCCGGGTCTTCAATGGCGTCATCAAGGCGCCTTGCAAGGGGCTGGGGTCTTAAACGGAGACCTTGGACGCAAATCCTGGAGCTAGCGCGGCTGGGGGTGGGGTGGGGGAGGAGCCCGGCACCGCTGGTCCAATCAGAAAGGGGAGGGGCAGGGCTTGGGGCGGGGCCTGCGACCGGAAGGCGAGCGGCCGGCTTCCGCGCGGGAACGCTGACTTCTGCTGGGGCGAACGGCGGTTTCAGCCCGGGAACCGCGGTGCTGGAGCCTTCAGGCCTCCGGGTGAGGACCTGCGGCCCTGCCGGCGGGGCACGATGGGCGCGGGAGGCCCCGGGCGCGCGCGCCG